TTTGAGAATTTTTTAAACTTTCCCACCCAAGGCTTGACGCCCTCTATAAGCGATGTCAACAGCTGGACATGCGCAGTGCATGAGTACTCGTAGCTACAATACGGATTATTCCTATTAATTGATTTATTAATTAAATAAGGTTGTGCAGATAGAAATTTTGATTGTGCAATTAAGTTCGGATAATGTGCAGTTTATTAAAACTGTGTGCAGTTGCAAATATGCCTTTGTTGCCGAGATATCACTATCCAACTGCGTCCTGCAAATCGCAAATATTTTTTTATTTTTTTATGCAAAATTGAGGCATGTGCAGATCCAATTATTTGCATAAATGAAATGTGCAGATAAAAACACGTCGCCTAGTATTTTTTTTATTGCATAAATCGATAATTTGCGTGCTAGCTTCCAGGTGGTAGTTTGAGCAGCGTGGAGCGTGGCCCAATGGGATACCCGGCTAGCGGCAAGTTCAAACGTTCTTTAGAACCAATAAATTTGTATGCAAGCTCGTAAGCCCCTGACCCCTTAGCCCAAGTATTTTAACCCCATAACCCTCTACTCTAAAGCCCTTAAACCTAATAATCCGGGGGTGAATTTTAATAAGTTAATAATTTCACTTTTTTTTCAACAACGAAAGAGCTACATACTACAATAATTAAACTTAGTGTCCATTCGCACCGTATTAGGAATATGCATATGGCATGCCTGTACCTCGTGACATGGCGATATATATATCATACTGAGAGGAAAAGTAGTAGACCATATGAGAGACATTAAGTTTTTATTGTTATTCGTGGTGGAAAAGGTGTTGAATACAAAAAGTTATTGGATTACATATTTTTAACATTATGAGAGTTAGGTTGTTATGTTTTTCATACGATGAAATAGTTTATTAAGGCCGTAAATAGCGTTTTGAAGGTACGAAATACAGTTTACCCTACATTGAGCTACTCGTTTCTGCTGCTGCTGCTGCTGTCGCTGTTGCGCGTGCTCAGAGGTAAACGAGCAGCTCAATGTTAGGTTAAACGGTACTTCGTACCTTTAAAAAGATGTTTTCGGCCTTAATAAACGATTTCATCATAAAAAAAAATAAGAACCTAACTCTTACAATGTCAAAAATATGTACTCCGGAAACTTTTTGTGTTCAACACCTTTTCCACCACGAAAAAAAATAAAAACTTAATTTTTTCCATAAGGACTGTATTACTTTTTCTCTAATTTTTTTTTGCCTCTTACACTATCAGAACCATATTTACATCAAAAAGTGTGAAACGAACAAAAGATATTTTATTAAGCCTATAAGCTGTAAATTTTATTATAAATAACATATTTTTGTCGTAGTTAATAAATCGAGCTACTATCAATAAAACGTTTTGATTTCTGCCTATACATTATTTTTTCATAGCATACATATGTATTTGTAAGGATATGTCCATTAAGATGTTCTTTTCAAAATTAGAACCTATCCCCCCACCTCCATAAGATTATGTGTAGTTTCATTGGCTTCCCCATGAGGTGCACCCCCTTTGCGTGAGATTTACCTTATAGTTTATGCATGATCAACTTCATTTTATTTTGTCTATATATTTCAACAAAGTTCTTTTTTTTTTAAAAGAATAATATATATACTCCATAAATATGTACTTGTATATACATACTTTTTACGCAGTTTTCCGGAACTCGTTCGAAAAGTCTCCTTTACGAACCTCGTTACGGACCTCGCCTTCGGCTCGGGCCGCAAACCTCTCGGTTCGCAAACAAAGACTTTTCAAACTCGTAGGAAAACTACTGTTTTTCACATTTCATTTCTGTACAGGTAAAAAAATATTACTGTGAGATCATTACGTAAGCATGAAGGACTATGATTATCACATATTTTGCGAGTTAATATACGTATGTGTACATATATATTTATATATGCATACGTAAATAATACATGGTTTGTCAAGAGGATACATGCACATACAATTTCTTGGGGGACGGGACTGCAATGGTGTTACCAAATTTTACTCAGAAAATATATTAATTATACATTATATCGCAGGCATTATTTATACATTATGTATGTGCCGAGTTGACAACCATAAACGACAAAGCCGTGAAAGGGAACTGTAATTATTTTATTCTTTTTATTTGCAATTTAAGAGATTAAAACAATCATTTACACAATAATAAAAAATCAGCACCATATCACCTTTAAAAACGCTGGCTACGGGCTGCCGAAGAAAAGCTGATAACATGAAGCCAACGTGTATTGTACTGATCATAAATATAAGTTCGCACTTAACGCGAGAAAGAGAGGAATTTAGAGTCAGTGCCATCTAGCGGGTGGTTATTCTGGAGAAAACTCGTGGCTCAGAAACCCTACGGACGTTTTTTATTGTAATTGACAAATAAAAGCACAACTCAGATTGCGCCGTTTAAGATTACGTTAAAGAAATCTGAGTTGTGCTTTTTTCATCCTGCGATAAACTTAGGCTATATTTAACAATCCAGACGAAAAAAAGCTCAAGTCAGATTTCTCCATGTAATTTTAAATAGTGAAATATGAGTTGTGCCTTCCTTCGTCACTCGAAACAAAAAACTTCCGGAAGGTCTCAGAGCTACAAGATTTCTCTAGAATAACCACCCACTAATAGTGCTGATTGTAAACGGAGTGGGAGTATGGCAGTCTATTGTCGCGATTCCAATAGACCATTCGCTATAGCGGATATTAGCCACTTCTACCAGTGGTGGCAATTTTTTTAATTCGTAGAGATCCAAAACAATTCGTCATATTTCATTCTAGTCAAGAATGATGTGGTAAATTTAATAGTCCCATATAGTTTGTTTTATAAACCAGCTGCAACTTCAACCAATTGATTAGTAATTATAATTTGATGCCTAAAGGTGTCATTAATGGCAAGATTAAAATATATCTTTGTCTTAAAAATCGACCTCTTTTGAAAGAAATCCACTAGGAATNATAATATATATACTCCATAAATATGTACTTGTATATACATACTTTTTACACTGTTTTACTATCGATATTTTTTTTAAAGTCTGCATGCAGTTTACAATGCTGGTAAGCTTAATTTTTCTTTTTTTCTACAAAGCAAATTATCAGGTTGTAGAACACAAAAAATACGAAACTTATTTTTAAAAAACTGAGCCCAGTAAACTTTAATCTTTTGAGATAATTTATTTACATATCATCACATAAACATAAAGGTTACCATTTTTTTTACATATTTCTCAAATTTTTCTTAAACTAAAAATTAATTATTGTTGTACAAATAAATTTTTTAACCAAGTACTAGAATTACACTAAAAATTAAAAAAAAAAATTGTGTTAAATCGCAATGGAAAATGTTGATGAAAATAAAGCTATTTTAGTTCATAAAATTTTTAAAAACTTATAAAACTATCATTACAGGCTCAACGTAGAACCCAAAACCCTCTTCTGCGAAAAAATTTTCAAACAATAAGCGCCATCGCGGCTTGTCAAATATTTTCAATCTTCCCGGGAAACAGAGAGAGAGAGAGAGAGAGAGAGAGTTCGAACGAACTTTCAGACTTAATCCGGGCGTCGTCGCGTTTAAAATATTATTTGTATCGCTTAAGTGAGGTATCGTGTTCGGGCGATTGGGCCGAAAAGCCGACGTCAAGGAGCGAAAGAAAGGAAGAGGAGGAGAGGCGAGATAGCGCCGCTAATTGCGGATAGAAACATTATCCACCGAAACCTGTCGATCAACAGGCTCTTGCGAGAGAGAGAGACGGAGTGAATTATCTCGAGCGTGTGCGCGAAATTTCGAAAATTTATTCGATCGGGGTTACTGGCACGCGGTTCGAGAAATTTTTCGGCCCAGCTTTTTGCCCAAAAGACTCTGCAGTGTGTAGGCGAAAGGCGGATCTTGCTGTCGATGGGTTTTTCGGCTTTTTTTGCTGACTTTTGTTTTTCGACATATTTTTTTTCAACGTTTTTTTTTTTTTTTATTTACACGATTATGTACAGCTGATACTTTATTTTTTTTCGCATTGGATTTTAAAATCCAATGCTTTCCCAAAACTTCTTTTGACCGAGATCATCCGACTGCCTTGGGATGAAGCTCTCGGGTCCCATAAAGTGGAGGTAATGCAGTTCACGAGTCGTAGGATGCACTCTCAGCCACTTGACCCCCAAATCTGGTTCTCTGTAACAACGAATCGATGATTTTTGTTTGAAATTTGTCAATTTTGGAAAAGTCAAAATGTATGCATATATCAACTAATTTCACGTACCCCGTGGCAGCCACCGAGTACCAAAAGTCCATCATTTTGTTCAACATAGGCCCGTCCACTTCTATAATAATGTTGTTATCCTCAAGAAGGAGGTAAACGTCGTCGGCGTGGCATACGCCTGCAAAGTGAGTAAACCGTTTTATTTTACATTTAGTCATGTGAATGTAAGACATATTTTTTTGTAACAATTTTTGGAGTACAATGACTATTCGAAAATATATATGTTTTCGAAACTTGTGATTAAATGACCCACAAAATTTTTGGAAGAGCAACAATCGATGTGGTCTTAATTTTTTAATATTTATTTACATGAGTTGTATTAGTAAGATTTAATTTACAGTGTTTAAAAAATAATGCTGTATATTTAATAAATAAATTAATGAAATATTAGTCGAAGTAAGCTTGTAATACCATGAAAAATATTAATGTAAAATTCATCTTCACTACCGGATGTGGTCTAAATTGTTTAATTTTTGTTCACGTATAATATACATTGCAAATAATAAGTAACAATTTCTCCATTTTTTATTTTTACATCAAAAAATTAATTGAATCTAGTTGTAGTATACTGGTGTAATAGGGTCCAAAAATTTTTCCCCGCAAAAATGTAGATTAAAAAGAGATGTATGAGAAAAGTGTTGTCAAAAAAGTATTATAACAATACTAAAAATTACCATATTTTTTTAGTATCGATACAACAAATTCTCGTATGAGTTAAATAACCTTATTTTTTATACTTTTGTTGTAATAATAGTTATTCAAAAAAAAATGTTTTTTATTAGCTGGGATTTCATACTACACTTACTCATCATTTAAAATCAATTGCAAAAATCCTAAAAATCCATCGTNGGTAGGAAACTATCTCCAAACTACCTCCGAACTTCTTACCCTGAAAACCTTCTAAGAACTTTGAAACCTGTAAAAGTTTTGTATATTTCATGAACTAAAAAATATTTAATATTAATACCTTTGTTCGTTACCCTTTCGAAATTTATGCCAGGGAAATAAATGAAATAAATAAATAAATAAATATCACGTGCATTTCTTTTGTTGGGGTCTTAAAAATTTTTCGGATGAATCTAGGTTATGCGTAGGTCTAATCCCATCATTCCGGAAATTAGTTCACATTTGAAAAAATGGCCCTATAATTATGACCAAGTGTTGACATCAACTACATATTTTTTCCATGCATGGTCACAATTATAAGGTCATTGGTCTTGTGTTGTAGAAAGTTTGTGATGTGGACACGTGGCGGCATTGCTGTTCGAAACACATGCTCCACTGATCGGAGAGTAATTTAAAGTAAAACTGAACTTACCAAAATTAATGGTCGTGTTGGTCAATTCATCGCTGAGGCTGTGAATGGCTCTGTAATTGTAGTAAAAGAACCGTACGGGGCTGCGGTTAACTTTGGCTTGTAGCCTCGCGGCCTTCTGGGAATCGAACGTAACGACCTTGTCGCCGACCAAGTACGTCAGTAGCCACGTGGTATCGTTCTCGATTTTCATAACACGATCGCCAAGATAGCGACGCCTCGATACACTCGCTGCGTGCGTAAATTCATCCGCCGATATTTTATCTTCGAATTGCATTAGATAAGGTCCGACGGTATCCCAGTTTTTATCGACGAAGCTCATGGACGTGTCGTTCAAAACAAAGCCTTGGAGGAAGAAAATGCAGGTTAGACATACTTTTACGGATGTAACTAGCGAAAGAGTGAAAAATATCCACCTGCTGTGAAGAATATTCCCTCTTCACTGGTCACACCGGTAATCCACGGCACGTCGTAGACTTTATCGTTGAGGATCTCTTCTGGAGATCGATTTATGAAGTAGTCGCTTTCGATTCTTTCAGCTACTGGCTTAAACGATGGTGTTATAACACCTATCGATAAATACTCCGCTTTCTGTGGAATTCGATGTTTTGATCTATATTTCTTACTCGTACAGTACACAGGATATTTTTAATTTTACCTTACACTTATTTTCCCGTATTGGGAATATGCCTGTACCACGTGACTTGGTTATATATATATGACAATTAGAGGAAAAATAGTACAGGCCTTATGGGAGACATTAAGTTTTTATTGTTATTCGTGGTGGAAAAGGTGTTGAATACAAAAAGTTATTGGATTACATATTTTTAACATTATGAGAGTTAGGTTGTTATGTTTTTCATACGATGAAATAGTTTATTAAGGCCGTAAATAGCGTTTTGAAGGTACGAAATACAGTTTACCCTACATTGAGCTACTCGTTTCTGCTGCTGCTGCTGCTGTCGCTGTTGCGCGTGCTCAGAGGTAAACGAGCAGCTCAATGTTAGGTTAAACGGTACTTCGTACCTTTAAAAAGATGTTTTCGGCCTTAATAAACGATTTCATCATAAAAAAAAATAAGAACCTAACTCTTACAATCATCAAAAATATGTACTCCGGAAACTTATGTGTTCAACACCTTTTCCACCACGAAAAAAAATAAAAACTTAATTTTTTCCATAAGGACTGTATTACTTTTTCTCTAATTTTTATATACATATATATCGACATGTCACGTGGTACAGGCATATTCCCAATAGAGGTCAGAGCTCTTATAAGTCCTGGGGCTCTATCACGACCTTCGATATCTCGCAAAAGTCAGTATTTTTTTCGATAATTTACATAAAATTATGGTTGTGCGCATGCGCAGTAAGAGAATTATCGAAAAAATACTGACTTTTGCGAGATATCGAAAGCCGTGATAGAGCCCCTGTAGTGAGCTTCGAGGGAGGGAGCGGACAATCTTGGGACCGCTCGTGATTGGTCAGCTGCCATTTGAGGCTCCTGCGGACTTTATTCATGTACTTGTATATATGTATATATCCATACAGATGTATGTACATCGTGACGTATATATATATGCTAAATGCTGCGTTTTCAATCTCACGCCTTTCCCCATGCATGAGCCTCAAATGGCGGACATTATCTCCTCACTCCCTCGAAGCTCACTAAAGTCCTGGTAAAATTTCAAAGTTGTTTAAAGCTTCCTACCTTATCGATATAGTTACTTTAATTGTATGGCTTTTTTATATTATTTATTCAGCAGCTAGCTATTTTATCCAAAAAAGAAGAGTAGACGTATATTCTGGACACTCTAAAGAATAAATTAAGCCTTCACTTGGAAAGATTGATTGAGAATGGCAGAAAGTTAAAAATCAGATTTATTGATAAGGTTCAATCCGAGTTTTCACTTTTCTTCTTCATATTTCAATGAATCTCACCAAAATCAAGCAATATTTATTCCTTGTAGATTCAGGAATGTGCGTCTACTACTTTTCTGATGTGTAAATATTCTAAATTAGTTGATTGTTGTAAGCTAAGTAAAATATCTGTTGATCGGTAGAGTAGGAAGCTGATTCATGCAAAGTAATATCTTATACCTAATTCTGTTAAGTGATGTTATTAACGTTAGTAATATACATGACATAATTTTTGGAAAAAAAAGGGTGGACTCACATTTTTCAATCTACAAGGAACAAATATAGTTCAATTTTGGCAAGATAAATTGAAATATAAAGAAGAAAAGTAAAAAATCAGATCGTACGTTATCTGTCCAACATCTGATTTCTCACTTTCCGCCTTGAATTCTCAATCAATCTTTCCAAGTGTGGGCTTAATTTATTCTTTGAAGTGTCAAGAATGGGCGTCTACTCTTCTTTTTTCGATAAAATAGCTAACTATTAAATAAATAATGTTATGAAGCTGTACAATCAAAGTAACCTTATCAGTAAGGTAGGAAACTATCTCCAAACTACCTCCGAACTTCTTACCCTGAAAACCTTCTAAGAACTTTGAAACCTGTAAAAGTTTTGTATATTTCATGAACGTCTATAGAACCGTTAAAGGACCCATACAATGTTTCCATTGTTTTTTCTATATTGTGTATTTAAAAAGTTGAATTTTCGAATTAACCTTTTTATTAATTAAAAAACTCCATACTTTATTACCTTTTTATTTTTATCATCACAATGCCATGAAAAATCTATTTCTGGGATGTGCCTCTAACTGTAGAGTTACACGTGACTCATCTTGACTTCTGATGGTATTAAATAACTTTCTATCAATTTAAAGACTCAAAAAGTCCTTTTTTTTACTGAATGTAAGATTTTTCATTTTTCATCATACTGTATGCAAGCAAAACATTTAATTTAATAAATGCGTATATTCCTCAAATCCGTATAACCTCAAACCTCGCTACACGTTTGCGCGAATACATAACCATGTAGGTCCAGAATAGCTGCAATATTTTTCCAAATGAAAGAAAAATACGCAACTTATATACAAGCCCACCGTTACTCCCTATAACTTCCTTTATATCCACCTAAATGCTATATCTTACCAACAAATCCTTTGCAGCATTATTCAATTGATCAGCAGGCATTCGCTTCAGGCAATCGATAACATCAACAATGGAATCACCTGATTCCTTGCAAACGATTCTAGTCAATTTATCGAGACCCTCGCGAGGATTTTTTGAATATGCCCAGGACGACAGTGCAGTACCACTAAAAGACACGCCATTACGGAACAGGCCAGCGCTTGAAGGTGAAAGGTAATGGTAATGAACACTTGAGGCACCCGCGCTCACACCAAGCAGTGATATCCGTTTGGGGTCGCCACCGAAGCGATGTATGTGCTCCGACGTCCAGCGCAGCGCAAGGTTTTGGTCCTTCAAACCCATGTTCCCGGGTATGAGGTCGTCGCCGGTACTGTTGAAATGAAGGGTAAACATACGTGAAAAATCTTTTTAAAAAAGAAGTAAATCACTCTACTTTTTCAAAAATGTGCAGTTCTAACCTCAAAAAACCAAAAGGCCCCAATCGATAGCTTATTGACACCAAAATCAAATCTCTGTCCATGATGTACTTGGTGACGACGGTGCTGGTGCCGTACTGAAAGCCACCACCGTGAATCCAAAGTAAAACTGGCAAAAGAGACGTAGTTTTCAAAACTGGCCTGTAAATGTTCAAGTAGAGGCAGTCCTCCACGCCTGTTAGAACGTCGTTCTTGTGATCGTACTGTATGCAATCGCTTTTTTTACTTGTGGCATCGAGTTCGGCCTCCCATGGTTCTACTGGTAAGGGGGGCTGGTTTGTTTTCATAAATTAAAAATAAATCAATGTGTAATTCATACATTTTTTGATTAAGGTGTTACGAGCGCTCTGAGTGACCCAAAAATCATTAGAGTGTGTATCTATGATAACAGTCTTGGCTACAATGAATACAAATACACACTTCAATGGTTCTTGGATCGCTCGGAGCAACTTAATCCAACAAATCTATCACTTAAAACAATTTACAGTGTAATTTTAAATCAAGCATATGTATTAAAGTGCCCTAAAATCACTTTATAATTCTTAGAACGTGACATTAAATCTCTACAATATCATACAGGTTATGCAGATTGTATATGCAACGTTGATGATTGTATTTATACACAAATTGTTCTGACATAAAAAGCTTTCATAGTGTACACATAGTGCATATACTCACATTGGACTAACTATAACCAATAACCCAAATGATTTATTGACATTTAATCATTTGTGGTACATAACCTGTAAACACATAATATGGTGCACAAAATCACTGTAAACTTACACAAGGCATTCTGACGAAATAAATATTCTTAAGGGAACTTGGTATCTGTCAGAATAAGGAAATTGACTTTGTATGGCCGGACCAGTCTATATTGATATGAAAGAGGTTATTTATCCAATATTTCCGACTTGAATTTAAAACCAAGATTAGCTTGGGTCTATCATGGTTAGATGATTTCCCATAACCATACATAGATACATCCTGTGGGATCCGGGCCAAGTTAAACCTAGTTTTTCTCTAACTTTTTCTAGACAACGATGAACTTAACCTAACACTACAAGCTTATCAAAGTTAATAATTGGTGATAATACATACATACCTGAAAGCGTAATTCGTTCGTAGGTGGCAATGCGTATGGAATACCCTCAAATGCTTCATAATATCGCTGTTCGTGGGACACTTTTAAGTAGCCTTTGATTTTGCCCAAAGACGTAATAACTTGCGGAACATTTACTCGAAAGCAAAAAATTTGGATTGTCCAGCAGGTGATGCTTATAAAAAGCACGTGTATAGCGCTCGGTTTCATTATTACACTTTATTACTGCAAATAACGGTTTAAAGAATCTTCCGCCTAAATAACACTGTTGTTTATATTCTCGGTTCGAAACAATTATTCGTGCGCTACGTCAAAGGTGAAAATCGTGATTGATCGTCTATTCATATCGTAAAGATAATTAATACTTGCAATCTGATTGCAATGCAAAATTGTTTAATAAAGTCAACGTCGAATGTTAATCGTTCATTGTCACAGTATAAGCTCTTATTATTGATCGCACATACCAAATGTGGCATTCTGCCTGCTTGTTTTTACAATATCATGGAATCAATTCATTGCTATTGAAAAACTAGGTATTTTAACTAGGTGTGCAAATTTTGTATTTAAAAATTTGTGCTAGATATCGAATAAAAAAAGTTGGATGCTGCTAAGCTGGTTTTGTGAATTTTCTATTTCGTTTTTATCATTATTATTATTATTTTTTTTTTTTTTAGTATTGGAGAGTTTATTTGACTATACTGTGAAAAGTGTGTAAAATTCAAAAAATTTGAAACTTGTGGAACACATTTGTCTAGACGTTTTTTCGTAGCGTTTCAAATAAAAACTTTTTTTTTCTCCATAGATCATGAAGTAAATGCTAAAAATTTTTTAAACAATCAGATTTTGAAGTACAAAAAAAGAACTATTAGGTTGAAATATTATTTCACAACCAATAAGCTTTCAAAAGGTTACATCTCAGACTTACTAAAAAATATCATATTAGATTTTTTCAAAAATATATAGCACTCTCGTCAAAGAGTTGCACTTAAAAATTTGAAACATTATCATTGCCATGGACTAAAAAAACGATTACTTGATGTTTCTTACATTTCATACATGCTGAAGTTACTATGATAAATCCTCTCTTAAAAGAGAGAATAATTTTGAATGAAGCCTATTATTCGTTGTATGATTGGTTCAAGCTTATATCACGTTGTTATGATTTAAATGACAGTCGTGGGTTGTAAAAATGAATGGTTTGTAAATGATTACCATAATTATTCTTTGTTTTTAAAAAATATCAGTAAAATTACAATTTCATTAAACTATCCTTGATTTGTCCAAAAAAATGTGAAATATTAATGATGGTAATAACGCTATAATGTAATGTGTAGCTTAAATACGTTGCACCGTATTCTTTTATATTTAATATGGTATTTGTGAATTAAAAAACTTCTGATAGCGCATCTGATCTGTCTAGTATTTAAAAGAAATATAAACGGTTATCGGTGTACTTCGATTACCTTAACTGATCTCATTCTTAAAATATTGATGGTCCACAACATTAAGTCTTTGCATCCGGTATTCGATCGATTAATAAATGTATTATAAGATATATTGAGTGTGGATTATATCTTTACATCGATATCAAAATTTTAAAAAGCTGATGGCTATGATTTGCAACAATGGATATTACAGTGGGTGAAAATTGCGATTGATACAATAATTCCTGAATGGATTGACTTTTTTTTTAATGATTATTAAATAGCAGAAAAAGCTGATATGAATTGAGGTTAGATATAAAAGTAAGTGAATAATGTAAATTTATTTAGCATTAGGTCCTCGCTAACTTACGTTTCATAAGAAGCCCTTGAAAATTTAACTAGTTTTTTGCACTAGAAGTAATATAATTTAATTAGTACTTTGCGGTTATACTTAAGTCAAGTATTTTAGTGCCGCAACTCATCCACAGGAAACAAACTGTATACTGATAAATAACAACGTACGATTTGACTAAACAACTACTGAAATATATTATTCATATTTTAATACCAGCCTCTGTAAGAGTAAATAAAAATAATTAGTTGGGGCTAGGAAATATAGAAAAAATTGTATTCCTCTACACAAATAATTTATTCAACTAGAATACAGTTACAATTACACGTGCCATAAAATTATATTGTGGTTATCTTTGTTCAAAGACCAATTATGTATTATGTTTTCAATTTCAATGAAACTAAGCGCAAGGCATATAACATTGCTATCAAGATAGAGGTTATGTCGAGTTATTTGTCTCATAACAACTTATTTATCGTTGCCCAAAAAAATGTTAGTAATCTTTTGTGCGTTTCTTGAAAACACCCTATAAAAGTTCTTGTGGGAACTTTGTATCCTTTAAATATTAACTGTGTTGCAGTACACCGCAGATAGAGGTTGGGTTAACATCATTTTACTTTGGTTTTTCGATCATTTATCTAAATAAAATTACTTGGTAAGGAATAATACAAATGAACTAATTATTTACGTAAGTATTTAAGTTGATCACATAATGGATTTAACAATCTTAGGTCATTGCATTTCTATCTATTTTTACACAATTGTCTGTATTTTTTATTTATTTATTTTCTATTTCGCTCTGATGTAATTGCTCTACTGCTTAATCATTTCATGTAATTGGGTGCTGCAACCTAATAATGCATATTGGAAGCCAAACATCATGTAGCATGTACTGTTATTCCTAAATAGCGTGGTAGCAACATACTGTAAAAGCTTGAAAGTTTGTTATATTTTTCCCTATATGAATTTTTCAGAATTCATTCACTTGTTGAACTAAATAAATCATCGTATGGCATTTTATGAGGTATACTATTACATCGTCTTTCGTAAAAGATTAATCGTTTTATAAATAAAGCTTTTTTCTCGACTGCATAATTGTTTGGTACTAATCAGGTGGTTTGAACTGAAGACATTAAAAATTACATTTTGAGACGTTAAAAAAACAAAAATTTTTAATTCAAGATAAAACTATTTGTCCCCTTGTATAAATAAATGAGAAAATAAAAAAAATTTTATTGAAAACAGAATTTTTATAATAAAAAATAGTTATATCTGCACAAATCCCTCTTGCAATATCGAGTAGCTTTATATTAGAGTAATTTTTTCAATATCATACAATTTGTATCTAGTACGATATAATAGCTCGGCCAATTATCCGTTAATTTTTTTTTTCTTTTGTCCTGAACTCACAACGGAGGCCTAGAAGATCAATAGGAAGGTAGGGTTATGGTTTGAAAATAATTCAAAAACTTAACATTGACGCTTGCACGTGGTTGCACACTCGCTTGATGAAAATTAAATTAAAATAGTTACGTAAGCATGAAAAGAAGCACTGCACCATATAAGAGTACAGCCACGTGGAAAACAAAAGGCGCACGGCCGTAAATGAAAGAGGCACGCGTGCAATCGCATTTCCCACATCACTTAGTTCCCTCTCACTCTTGAGTCGCCCGTAGGTAAACGCGCGTAAACGGAAACGTCAATCGGCTGAGCGATTGAATCCTCGTGCGAACTCGCGAATTCAATTAAAATGCTGTACGGGTGTTCTTGATGCTGTACCGTTACGGGCCATTCGTTTACTTTACCTACTCGTGCAGAGTGTGTATTTTTACGCGTGAATTATATAATTTTCAAGGAAACTGAAGTAAGTATGTCAGAGTGGGTGAATGCATTTAAAAATGCGATGTACCTACACTTATTTTGTCAAACGTATTTGTATATTAATAAAGTTTCAATCTACGGTATTATGTCTTTCAGTTTTACTAAAAAAGCCATGGTAAAGTTGCGTGACTAACAAGTCTTAGCTATAATTTTTACCGTAGCTCCACAATGTATATTTTTTTACAGCAAAAAAAAATCACCATAATATGCCTGTAAAAGCATCGAGATATAGTAGTTTTCCTACGAGTTTGAAAAGTCTTTGTTTGCGAACCGAGAGGTTTGCGGCCCGAGCCGAAGGCGAGGTCCGTAACGAGGTTCGTAAAGGAGACTTTTCGAACGAGTATCGGAAAACTGCTTTTTCGCCCGAGGAAGTACCAGCCTCCCAAAACCACCCGAGGGCAGAAAAAAATATTTTTTTTAACTGCATAATAGGCTCTGCAATGTTGTGTTAATCTGCATGTGTACTTAACAATCGTCATTGGCATATATTACAAGAACCACCTCAGATGTATGTAATCAATCATTTACACAGCAGTGGGGGGGGGGGGGCGTATTTTACATGGCTTCCGAACCATCGGACTACGAATTGAAATACGCATATGAGCACTTGGTGTCGTGCGCCAAATGTGTTAAGATTGGGTCTTAAACTCAGAAGCCTGTGTTACAAGCTCCGGAGCTATAAAAACCACAACCTAAACCACTGTGCTAAATATTAATATTATTATTATTATTATTATTATTATTATTATAAAAGTCGTTATTATTGTTATTGGTATTGTTATTAGTAGGTACAATTCCTCTATATAAGTGTCTTACATTATTGTCAGAGTAAAAAGTGTGACCATGTCTGAATAGTCTATTATTGTTGGTAAACAAATTTTAAACATAATATAAGGGTGGTTCGAGTAATTCGCGTAGAGTTTTTAGAAATGTTAGTACTTTGCGGTTATACTTAAGTCAAGTATTTTAGTGCCGCAACTCATCCACAGGAAACAAACTGTATACTGATAAATAACAACGTACGATTTGACTAAACAACTACTGAAATATATTATTCATATTTTAATACCAGCCTCTGTAAGAGTAAATAAAAATAATTAGTTGGGGCTAGGAAATATAGAAAAAATTGTATTCCTCTACACAAATAATTTATTCAACTAGAATACAGTTACAATTACNATAATAACAATAAAAATAATAATAATATAAACAATAATAATGATTAATTGTTTACGTTATAAGTACGGAAAAGAAAATTTCCGGCACGAGTTGTGATTGACGCGCACAAGTAGTCAAAGTTGCTGGGAACGAGTGCCAAGCACGAGTGTGATCGCAGGGCACAAGTTACTGGCATCGGCCACGAGTGCGAGTCAATCACACACGAGTGCGGGAAATCGTCCGCACGAGTTATGTACAAGATTTTTCGTAATATGTGTGAGGAAAATTGTTATAAATTTTAAAATAAGTAATTTAAATAATAAATTTGAAGCTTATACGGAAAACAGTTTTCCACACACTTTTTTCATGCTCAGTGTGAGAAATTCGATATGCCG